ATCACATTGCTTAGCGATAGAATGTCCAGTTTCAATTGCCACGCTTAACTAAGGGTTACCTATATTCATCAAAATACAATCCACATTCTCTTTAATTGCTATGCATATTTTTTTATATACCGTATTTATCGGCGTATAACACGCAGGCAGGGTTTAAGCTTGCAATTTTAGTTTTAAAACTGCGTGTTATACGCCGATAAATACGGTATATTTCAAAAAAACAACCAACAAGTCTTATCATAAACATTCTAATCACACTGTTGAACAAATTTGATCAAGTGATGTTTTCATGGGGTTGTCCTTACAGTTTGCTGTAGATCTGGTATTATAATCCGTATCACTAATGTATTATTCTGGGCATCTTCCATTTTGCTACTTGGCTTTTCTGCTGTCGCCTTGATGGTGTCGTAAATGGTTTCTTCTTTGGAACTATCTGATTCTGATTCCACTGAATCATCTGAAAAGCTCTGAGCCATCTCATCTTCACTTGATGTTGGACTACGGGGCATGTTCAGCATATATTACATTCACCTAAAAAACACAAAAGACAAGACAACAATTAGTTCCATATATAACATTTTGAACCCAGGAAGAAAAGGAAATGCATTTGTTTAAATTGTTTTAGTCTGTTTTAACTAACTTTGCAAGTGTTGAGGGTAGAAGGAATTTTGGGAAAATAAAGAACCAAGTAAATTAAATTATCTGTAGATTAAAATGGGATTAAAATGGAAATACTTACTATAATAGAAAATCTAACATTCTTTAGAAGCAAAAGTAATCCCCATGTATATTACATCCTTATTTGTAGAACAGGCATACTTAAAAATACTGTAAAGCCCACTTAAATTTATATTTGACCTTCACAAAGGATTAGAGAATACAAACACTGTAAGGAACAGTATAAAACCCTATGCAGTAATGTTTAACCTTTACAAAGCACTAGTGAAAGTCCACTCTCTACTTAATTGCTAATTGGGATAAACAAATCAAAAGCATAACAGCTGTTGAAATGTTTGACACTAGGAAAGATTATATATGGGAATCAATACTTAAAAGAGATCCTATGAGTCAGAGTAGCTTACTGAAGAGAAAGCAGATTTTTATCAGGAAGTTTTGTCACTGAACTTGCATCCAATATTAAATATTTCTACTGCTGAAATTGAAATTCCCCTTGGCATTTGCATTAGAAGCCAATAAAAAGCTAACAGAAATGTAAATTAAATGAATGTGCTAAAGTTGTTAGAACTATAGACAAAAGAAATATTCACAATAAGATTGTCATTATTTTGCTGATACTGTAAATAGCCCTAACTAGAATAGAAGTTTACATGTTCAATAAGTAATTAGCTACATGAAATTATTTGGAAAGCATATCCCACAGAAATTTGGAGAAGGTGGTTTTGATTCTGAGGAGTTGCTATTTTTGATGTGCTAAACCTTTTTAATAATAAATATTGCAATATAGCTTTGAAATACCATGTTAGAGATGAATATTTACACTGACTTTCTCTTTTAAGCCAAAAAAATTCCTAAGGGTGAATTTCATATTCTTATGCTTCATTGAACTGTGAATTACTACAGCTCTCTATAATACCTTAAGTCAATAAAAAGCATAAACACTGGCTTCTTTATATTCCTACTGATACTAATCTCACAAATGAAAGTTTTATTGGCCAATACAGGGTTGCAACAAACTTCAAAAGGTTTTAGAAAATATTTAATTAGGTTAGCAGTGTGGTGCTCAAGGACCTATCCTATCTTTGTATCTTTCTATATGTCTCTCTGTCAGTCTGTCTATCCATCTATCCATACATGAGATACCAAATCTCAAAAGAATTTTCTGTTCTGTCATGAAATCTGAGTGCATGACCAGTAAAATAGTCACCATCTTTTAGAACAATGTATTTCATTGTTGTTATGACACTAATTCTTACAGCTTTCTTGGCAAGAATTTCAGAAGTGGGTTTCCATTGCCTCCTTCCTAGAGCTAAGAGAGAAGGACTGGCCTAAGCTCAACCAACTGGCTTTCTCCCTAAGATAGGACTAGGGGTGAAATTCGACCGGTTCTATCTGGTTCAGGCAGTGTTGGCAGTGGGAGTCTCGCCCACCCACACGGACATCATCACGTCCCGTTTTTGATGATCTGCACATGCGCGGAAGGTCCTACGCATGCAAGGTGGTGGTGCATGCACTCACATTTGCAAACCGGTAGCAAAAGTAAGTTGATTTCTCCCCTGACTAGAAGTTATATTCTTCCAGTTTCTATCCTGGTAACTTAACAACTACACCACAGTAGCTCTCTGAATGACCAATTGGGCTGCATTCTCTATTTCCTTAATTTCTTATAAAGCCTTATTCAGCAGCAGTTTTTCCATAGGTGGTTTTTCAAAAGGCAACTGGACTTTGTTGAGAAACAAAGTTTCTCCATAAGGCACTGTTTTCACAGCGTTTAAGATAGTGGCTACCTGTTCCTTTTCAAGATGAATAGGAATGAAAAGATGAATATATTCCGTTTATCATTTTATTTTCATTACTTATTTGTCACTTTTTTAGCACCATATTTTTGGAGTATAAGATGTTCCGAAGTATAAGACGCATCTTAGTTTTTGGGGAGGAAAATAAGACGAAAAAATATTCTGCCTCTGCCTACCAGCATCCATGGTATTCAGCTGACACATGGTAACAAGGTCAGCCAATGAATAGGCATAGCAACTAAGTCAGCCAATGAGGGCTATTTGGACTCTGAAATTTGCTGTGTGAGCAACAAGGAGACAGGGAGGAGCCTGGCTTAGCCCAGAATTGAAAGTGAAACTTCTTGTGTTTTGCTTGTATTTACTACTGGAAAACCTGCATTTGGCAATGTATTGCATATTATTATTATTTTGAATCCTGCTGAATCAGTTACTGTGCTTTCTGAATGTGATTGCTGCTGCAAACTCTGACCAGTCAGTTCAGCTTTAGCACTTATTGCAGCCTGATTCAGCACAGCTGATTGGAAGATGGATCGGACTGTCGGAATACCCCCATCAGCTGTTCCAGGCTACAAGGATTGCCACAGACCATCGCTGCCCTCCATGCCTCACATTTTTAGCCTCTGGTGGGGGGGGGGCTACATTTGGTGTATAAGACGCACCCAAATTTTCACCTTCTTTTTTGGGGGGGGAAGGTGCATCTTATACTCTGAAAAATACGGTAGTTGTTCTTGAAATCATTTTGAGCTTTTGTTGTTGTTCTTTAGGATATATGCACCTAGAAGAGGCTAGGTACTAAATACTTAAGGAGAGTCCAGATAAATAGACTATTTAATTTTGATTGTAAGGGAATGGCATTTGGGGACTAAAGCCAAAACATTGTACTGCATAATGCAATCACAATTGTTCAGGAGAGACTTCTATTCCTTTGAGAAGGTTTAGGGCACTACAGTGAACTCCTGAGGGTCCCAGGAAAAAGGAATTACAGTTGCGCTCAAGGTATTCAAGTGCTGTTGGTCATCTCAGTCTGTCCCAAACTATAATTCAAAACTTTTTCAAAGGTATTCCAAACATTTACAGTCCTACCCAGCCACATATATTTTGTTTCCCTTTCTACTTCCATGAAGGAGACCAGTATAATATACAGTACTTGTCTATTCCATCTTTTACTTACATTACGTGCCCAAACTAGGTGTGTTTTACTTGTTTTATACTCAAGGATAACTCACTTAAAATATATGCTTAGGTTTTCCTCATTAGTGATACACATTTACTAATTAGAGTTTATGTAATAGAATAGCATTAACATGATGGAACATGTACCATCAAATATCATACTAAAAATAGTTATTCTGATAAGCATGTTCACAAGCTTCTAAAACATAGAAATGAAATAAAGTAGTATAGAATTAATCATAGCTTCACTTTCTAAATTACATTTATTGTTCAATTGCAGATAGTATGTGCCTGTGTGTGAACAGCTTTTTAATAAGTCGTATTGTTTTAGTAGTATTTTAAAAATTAACCAATGTTATATTTTTTAATTATTCCACTTATTTTTTGTTATAATGCTGATATTTGCATTGAAATTATATATTTAAATATATTGTTTTGAGTAAAGCATATTTGAGACTTAACATTACGAGTCCAAACCATTTCGTAAACATCTTCTGAAAAATCATGCATCCAAATCAATCCCAACTATTCTTCAATGCTTACTTTGATTCACTGATGGCTTTAAAGAGTCCTACGGGATTGGGCGGCATACAAATTTATTAAATTACTATTAAATTACTAATTAATTAAAGGACCCTTTTTTTCAGATATAGTGCTGTAGTCTACTGAATGCCAAACAATCTGAACTCTAGAGAAACTCTGTCATAAGATCTGTCAGAACAGGAATGAGTTCTGTATTTAATAATACAAAAATACAATCTGAATTTAATAATAAATTTAAGAAAAAAATATTTTCAAAAGGCAACAGGAGATAGATCTAAATATATTTAACATGCTTTTTATATTTTATTATTTACTATTTTTATGACCTGTGATGTATAATTAAAATTTACTTTTCTTGCTATCAAGAGATTTAGAGTGAAATAAAGTATTCTCAGAAGCAGGAGTGGAAGAACTGTAAAGGTCTACCCAGGGCGAAGAAATCAAAGGCTTGATATTCGCCCACCACCCACAAATGAACATTTTCTTCCCCCTGCTGCTGGTTCAAGATTCAGGCCAAGGTGCAGTTCTCGGACAGGGTAGTGGAGACACATATCAAAGGGAGCTTCTGGGCCTGGCTGGGAAGGAAGCAGTGGGATGGAGCTGGCAGAGGAAGCAGGGCAGTGATGCAGGCAGCAACTCCCCAGGTGAAGGTGGCATATGCCAACATTGTGTGAATTGCAGCTGATGGCAACAGAAGAAAGCAAGCTGCCAGCAAACTGTCTTCTAGAGCAGTGTTTTTCAACCACTGTGCCGCGGCACACTAGTGTGCCGTGACATAGTGTAAGGTGTGCCGTGGGAAAATTACTTTATATATATAGTCAATATAGGCACAGAGTTAAATTTTTTTAACATTTTCTAATGGTGGTGTGCCTCGTGATTTTTTTCATGAAAAAAGTGTGCCTTTGCACAAAAAAGGTTGAAAAACACTGTTCTAGAGTACATCTTTGTAGCTCTAATTCCTAGATAGTACTTGCCACTTCAGACACATAAATACACTTATCCACTTACTCAAACCTGTTACCAAACATGATTTCTTAAGCTGACAAAACAAATGCCTGAAAATATATAAGAAAATATCCTTTCATGCAGAAATAGCAGGTGTCTTTCATCCAGATCTGTATGTGACCATGCTTCCCCAAGTCACAAATTACATTTCTACATAAAAAAACTAATAAGATAATTTTGCTCTGCTCATAAGGCTTTCAACCTATAAAATAAACAATGAGATGCAAAATGTGACTTGAATGGCAACAGCCTGCTGATACATAAACAAAAAAGGAATGGGCTCCATTCAGTAACTCTGAATTGTTGTCAAGCATTCAAAGGTGCCAGAAAGGAAAA